CTAGTCTAGCGAAAAAACTGGTTTCTAGTGTAGAAAATTATCACAAGTCTCGTTAGGTACCAAAGTACTCTTGGAAAACACGAAAGAATGAGAAATACTCGGGTACCCAGGTACACGCGAAAAACTTGGCTAAAAAATATTTTCATGGGTACCAGAGAGTTCCATGTATGGGACACCAAGGTAGAATTTATTTGTCAGGTATAACAGTCTCTTGTCAATATCGAAAACATCATGATTGCTTCGGTACCCGATTACAAAAATACCCGAGTATCTTGCATACCTGACTCCATCGTCTATCTCTACTTGATAATCCCTAGGACAAGAAACCTAATTGCACGAAATTATTGTTTTTGAGTGCAGAAAATTATTACAAGTCTCGTTAGGTACCAAAGTACTCTTGGAAAACACGGAAGAATGAGAAATACTCGGGTACCCAGGTACACGCGAGAAACTTGGCTAAAAAATATTTTCATGGGTACCAGAGAGTTCCATGTATGGGACACCAAGGTAGAATTTATTTATCAGGTATAACAATCTCCTGTTAATATCAAAAACATCATGATTGCTTCGGTACCCGATTATAAAAATACCCGAGTATCTTGCATACCTGACTCCATCGTCTATTTCTACTTGATAATCCCTAGGACAAGAAACCTAATTGCACGAAATTATTGTTTTCGAGTGCAGAAAATTATTACAAGTCTCGTTAGGTACCAAAGTATTCTTGGAAAACACGGAAGAACGAGAAATACTCGGGTACCCAGGTACACGCGAGAAACTTGGCTAAAAAATATTTTCATGGCTACCAGAGGGTACCATGCATGCGATACCTAGATTAAAATTTATTTACCAGGTATAAGAGTCCCCGTTGTCAATATCCAGAAAACATCATGGTTGCTTCGGTACCCGAATACCTGAGTATCTCGCATAACCGACTGCATCGCCTACATCTACTCGAAACTACCCCTACGTGAACACGTACACGTATTATCTCGATTATTCCCATTTTAATTATCCGCATTCTCGTGTACTTAGGGAGACATTACAGGTCGTTAGCTCTAGCATCAAAATGGCGGCCGCGGCTCCGCCATTCGCGAAGTGGCCTTGGTCGCATCTAGAGTATCCTTGACCGTTACTTTTTTCTCCATCATCGATGCCATATCCCATCCTACGTTTCTCATCCGGACGAATGGAATTGGGATGGAATTTCGCGAAACTTTCTCGCTGACCGGTCGGACAGTGTGACGATCGATCATCGTTTTAAGCGGACTCGTCCGGTCCCCGGTTCCTTCCCCGTAGTTTCTCGGTGTCAGACGGCAGTCGTGGTCGTTTAACGAACGCCCAACGACTCTGGCCGTATTATACGGAAATAATACGCGTCGTGAAACGTGCAAATTGCCGGCTGTTTGGCGGCGGCAAAGTGTACGGGATACGGGGTCGCCGGTCGGGTGTGCAGGCCGTAGATGTAAAGAGAAAAGGAGAGAGAGAGGGTGGTTCACGGTAATTGTAATAATTGTTATTATTCGGTGTATAATTAACGCCGCGGCTCGAGCTACCGCGAGCGGCCGCGCTCGGGTCTCCGACGAAAAGTTTAAGCATGCTGCCCGCCGGCCATTTGCATAATTAATTAAAGAAGGAGTCGAGTTTTCAACAGATTTTCATGCCGTGCCTTCTCTCCTCGTTCAGACGAGAACCTTCGAGATCCTCTCCTCGGTCTTTCCTCCTCATCCTCCTCTGTTCTACTCCGGGTCAGACGATTCACAGCGGCCGGAATTCAGTTTCAACTCCGCTGGAAGGATATTCTTATTTTTTCTCCCCCGTCCAGAGGGCCTGCGCTAGCACCGGGGTGGATGGTTAACCGCTATCTCCGTCTCCGTTCCCTCAGCCTCGCTCTCTCGCCACGCTCTCGCATCCCTTCGGCGAACATCGTCAACCTATGCCAGCCTAATCCTATATTTTTCCATTGATTCCGTCCACTGTTCGTATCAGGGTCGTGGGTGGACTCGTGGGAGGGGCGAGACGCGGACGCGCTCCGGGCTGGAGAGACGAGGGGGCAAATGTAATTAATTATCCCGGTAATGACTCTGACTGATGAGCGGCCGGACAAGTCCAGCCAGGTCGAAATAGCGTAGAAGTGGTGACGGCCTCGAACTACCGCCTCGACCGACTTATTTGCTTTCGCGTTTTTACCCACCGTCGCCGCTTCTTCCGCGACCGGTTTCTAACAGTATCGTGGAACCGTTTCGAACAAGATTTACGTTGTGATGCAATCGCCCTTTTTTAACGCTGCACGCGATCGCACTGCGCTCAATGGCCGACCGTGAGTCGATGGATTCGATTCCGCTTTGACCACGCTTGTTCGTTAGAAACCGAATCTCCTTTTTCTTCTTAATTTCCAACTAGAATTATTAATAACTTATCAGTATTGAGAGCAACGCTTCGTCATAAATGTGAAGTTTTCGGTAATTTTACCGATCTTCGAGATTTCTCGAGTTCACCCCTCCGAGTCGTCCATCCCTCGTCAAAGCTCTGTACTATGCTCGTTGATTTGCGAAATTTGCAGAGGATTTTGCAGAGAATTATGCAGAGAATATAAGGATGCAAAATAGGAATTATCGAGTAATTATTCGTAATCGTTAATAAGAGGGAAAAAGAAAGATGGCGGTGGGAAGTCGCGTGGCAGAAGTTGGGTTCTTGGGGGCCAAAGCAAGCCAGGGAACGAATTGTTCCATCGATCGATCGGACGTGTTCAAGGACCGTTCATACCTGTTCCTGAAACACCACGGCGGAGAGACAACGAGAGAGCCGGCACGGAGAGGGGCTGTGCATGACAAGGTAGATTTATTTTTTTCACACCCCACGCCAGGACTCACCAGGGGCTGGACGAGGTGTTTTAATATTTTAATAGGACGCCGGAATGGCCGGTTTCGTGACTTGGCGTTTTATAATGATATTCTCCCCGCGTTTCGTTCGCAGTAGCAGGAGAAAATCAACGGCTCGAAATAACCCATTTCGTTGGCAACTCGTTCTACTATTCTCCTAAAATAACAACCTCGACTCTTTACGCTTTGTATTACGCGTCGCTCGATCATCCCCTTCCTCTCTTTCTTCTTATTCTTTGCTCCTCCTCGTGTTCCTCTTCTTCTCCGTCGGCTTCTTCGTCCTCGTCTTCTTGGTTTAACGTCGTTTACGCTCGGGATCGACGTCATCCCGTGCCACGTACTTGTACAGAGGATTATAAATTTTCATTCGAGCGGCGATTGTCTCTGAAGTGCACGGGACAAACGAATGATTGCTCTGTGATGAACTGAAGTATCGGGCGATGAGTCAGGCGATTAAATGCGTTCCCTCTTGCTGCAGTCGATACTTTCGATATCTCGGCCGGTGTTACATTTTTTCTTCTTTTTTCTTCCTCGAGCTTCTTACGGTTTCGTGACGAACCATTTTGATTTTTACTCCATGCCCGATGATCGAGAACTCGCGTTTTAATAAATCGAGGGTAGATGTGGGTTATAATACCCATTCGAATTAATGTGCCTCTCGAGTGCTTATTTTTTTCCAGTCAATTTTCTTGTCATGCCTCGGTTTACATACTGGAGAAATTAATTTACCAAACCTGCCCCATTTTTTCGCCTCTCCTTCAGTCGCGATAACATGTTTCGTGACTCGACGATGAAGATAAAATATCGTCTTTTTCGTGAAATATCGAACACGTCGATGAGAATAATTTTTAAGCTGTCAAGTGGACAAGACAAGACGATTCGTCGCGATTTAACGATTTATTTATCCAAAAATCCATCAATTTTAATGCACCCTCATATATATATTTCCATTACGAGTACACTACATTATATTTGCATTTATTGCATTATTATATTGCATCGATTCACCTTCGATGATCTATAATTCCATGCTGAATAAATTTTCTCACAAACACTGACGATATAGTGACAGCTCTCGTGACATCTGGCGCCAAAATGGCAACAAAAATTTCAAAATCTACCAACTACTTCTGCAAATTTTGTGTATTCCAGAAACACACGAAAGCGCGATTTAACCTGAATTCATCGTGCAAAGCTATAATGTATTTAGCGTGGACTAGAGAAGCGAAACGTGATAAGGAAATCGTGCATCGTCTTTGCAGGGTTAATCGCCACCGATGGGGAATAAAACGCAATTATCGGGTTAAATTTTAACAAGAGATCGCGGCGAATATTTTCACAGAGCTCGATCACCTCCGAAACGATGTATAACGCGAGAAGATGGTATCGCTATTTCGATAGACGAGCCGAGCTGAGTCATTCCGCATCATCGTTCTTCTTTCGCATTCATCCACCGGCACCTTTCCGTCCCTCATTTCCCCGTTTCAATCAATCGTCGAGTCCAATTTCATTTCTTCCATTATCATCTCGCTACGAAGTCGATTGAGACGGGACAGTTAAGATCTAATTACCTTCCGTCAAATTAACTGCACGTCCGAGCCGATCGTGTGTACCTTGCAACCGGTGAAACAATATTTATCGTTACCGTTACAATTATAATTTCATCTGACGACGGCTTAATTAAACTCGCGATCGAATAAAATTTCGTTCAGAGATTGACCGTTTCGTCGGGAATTTTTCTATCCCTCGAGGAGCCCCGACAGCAGCACGTAATAATTCCGGAAACCCCGAATGGTGTATCAGCGATTAAAGAATCTATGGTTTACGTAATTTAAGCGATCCTTTCGAAATATTTTTCCCGCTGTTTCCTTAATGTAATTCGTTTAAATAACTTGTCAGTTACTCGAGCCGCGGGTTATGTTATAATACGAAGCTTCGTAACTTCTTCGATACTTCGAGTGATGAAACACGACTCTTATATAATTTAACAGTTGTACAATACGTTGCGATATGGAACGAGAATTTACTTTCCCGTAGAATCGAGCAGCGAGTAGTAATAATTAAATCTATTATATTCTAAAGAGTAAGTTACCCAGGCAGGTTTTTAGAATTACTCACTATTGCAAGATGTTCGTCGCACTGTTGCAGCACCTTAAATAAAAGACACAAGTTGTATCAAAAAGCAATTCGGAATGTGCAAATCGATCAAATTGAATGAAATGATCGATCCAGGCAGAGTCATGAAACTATGTCGCGATTATTTAGCAGATACTGAGGAAATATGGAGTCGGCGCGTGTTTCGATCGTTTTACCAGAGATAACACGTTTCAGATTGTTACGAGAAAAAGTATGTTTCATTGTTTCGCGTGAAAACTGGCATGTTTGATATTCGCCACGGTAACGAGCATGATTCGCAATTCACCATGAATTATAGCATATTTCAACGTTATAGGAAAGAATAGCGCGTTTTAAGATAGCTCTGTTTAACTTTCAAAGAATTTCACTGTATAAGAAGACGTTTCTGAAACATCATGTGAAAAGTACATACGATATATTACAGAAAAGTAGGGTTAAAAATTCCAAGCTTAAATTGAATATATAGCAATAAATTTCCGAGGAATAATTTCTTTATCCCCATTTGGAATCGAATAATTACACTCACTATACACTGAGGTACATATGAACGTCGTAACTACTGAATAAAGATAGACTACTCGTGAAATACATAATCGAGAACAGCAAATGCAAATATATTTTCTTCCCAAAGATTATAATTAAAAAATTTGTCAGATTTATCACAGGCATATTTCCCACATGACAATTTTCAAGCCAAAACTCGAAACGTAGGATATTCGATATACTAGAGAAAATTGGGGTTGAGTTTCAAGCTTAAATTTAGTATATTATAATAAACTTCCGAGAAATATGAATTTCTTTATCCCCAGTTGAAATAGAACAATTACACTCATTATGCATTAAGGTACATATGAACTTCGTAATTACTGAATAAAAGAAGACTATCCGTAAAATACATAATAGAGAAGAGCAAATGCAAATACATTTTCTCCCAAGATTATGATTAACCCTCTGACTACTGTGGGCGCCTAAAGGCGCTCAAAAATTTTGTTTGCTGCTAAATTTTAAGTATGTACGGTATCCATTTAATGCAGAATACAAAGAAATAAACAAAGCTGTTTTAACATAGTGGAATATAGTTTCGATTATTATTTAAATATACAATAATTTCTCAGAAATGCTAGAAAGAACCTAACGAAAAATTTCACCGTTCTCAGTGTACATTGCAAATGAATTCCTATCGTACGATACGAGTGGTGCGTTTCAAAGTATGTTGTAGTCAAAGGGTTAAAAAATTTGTCAGGTTTATCACAGACTGATTTCCTACATGACAATTTCCAAGACAAAACTCGAAACGTAATATATGAGAGATACTAGAGAAAACTAGAGTTAAGAGTTCCAAGCTTAAATTTAATATATCGTAATAAATTTCCGAGGAAAATTAATTTCTTTAACGCCGATTGTAATCGAACAATAACACTTATTATGCATTGAGATACATATAAACGTCATGGCGACGAAATAAGGGTAGACTATTCGTGAAATACATAATCGAGAACTCATGCAAATACATTATTTTCCCAAAGACAATGATTAAAAAATTTGTCAGGTTTATCACAGGCAGATATCTCACATGACAATTTCCAAGACAAAACTCGAAACGTAGTGTATACGATATACTAGAGAAAACTAGGGTTAAGAGTTCCAAGCATAAATTTAATATATCGTAATAAATTTCCGAGGAAAATTAATTTCTTTAACGCGAATTGGAATCGAACAACACTAATTATGCACTGAGATATATATGAACATCGAAATGACGAAATAAGGTTAGACTATTCGTGAAATACATAATGGAGAACGTATGCAAATATATTATTTTCTCAAAGATTATCATTCAAAAATTTGTCCAATATTCTACATGTCAATTTGCAAGGCAAAACTCGAAACGTACCACCTTCCACCTTCCGTTGTCAAATGCCCGAGCCCGAACGCTCAGAGGACAATTACAACAGGCTACTTTTCATAACACGTATCAGACAGTCCATCCTCCGAGGGCACCCCAATTTCACCCGTTGCACGCCGAACTTGCCCATTTCCAGCCATTTGTCGCGGCCCGTGGGCACGGTTGCCAAAACGGAAGGACCCTTCGACGATAGATCGAAGCTCGGCCACGATCTCGCGAATATTTCCCCGGGGCGGCGACGAGCAGTTCGAGATTGATGCGTTAGGCAAACAGCGTAGGCGCGTCCTCGTTTGTAGCGGCGGACACGACGGCTCGCAATTAATTGCAGGTAGGATCGTTAATGCCGCCTAATTTCGCGGAAGGACAGAAACGGTTCGGCCGGAGAATCACGATTCGTTAGCGCGAGCCGGGGTGCAATTTTTTCCACCCCCTCTGCCGACCACGGCGCCCCGTCGTTCGCCGGCTGTCACCGTGTATTCGGAAATATAACTAGATTTACGTCGCTCTATTATCTCTATCGTCGAGGCCGTGTCCTAACGGCCAGCCTGAAAAAAATCCACCCGAAAATTCCCGTATTCGATTTTTATATATGTATATATGTATATACACATACACGCGTGCAGGTATATGCGTGTATGTACATATATATATATACATATAGGTATCGACAACGGACCCAACCCCGACATTCGGAGCAGAACCACGGGGGTGTCAGGGGGCGGCGGGGGGAGAAAAAAAAGCGACAGCAACTTACGATTTATAATGCGCAAGATAAAACGAATTAAAAGCGACGCGAGCGAAAAAATCCGAATCCTGGGTTGAAATAAAATTGCGTTCGCCGGCGAGGAGGGAGGGCGGGGGTTGGGCGAGTATTTTTCGCGTGGCCGTGTGTATAGAATTCGTAATTAGCGGGAGGACGGGGCTCGGCAGGTAGGTTTGTGTAATTTCGAATGGGAAATTTGACGAAAGCTGTCTGGGGATTGGAACGGTTAATCTCTTACCTACTGATTTTTTTAACAACCATCCGCGTTATCGCTAGTTCGTTGTTTTTAATACCGTGGCGGGCGAGGATGATTAAAACGCGTTGTAATTCGCGTTCGACGAGATGAGAGGGCCCGGGACTTTCTTACGCCGCCCCTTGACAAACGTTTGCGTGTCGTTGACAGATTTTCCTCCACGAATTCTCGTGCGAATATGTACAATGATTTTTACATCAGCAGAACGTACGATGATTATATTTCTGAGGGTTAATTCGAACGACTCTCGAGGTGGTGCAGGGTACATTTGCGGCGGTCGTACGCGTTTACATTGTCATTATCAGGGGCTGGAAAATATTTTCCAATACCGCCTGTCTGGAAATACGCTTTAATTTCTGGGAATATGTTTTAAATAAACGCGGAAGGAGAGAAAAATGAGAAATGAAATTTGGATAAAAATGCAGCGAATATAATTTCCTGAACTGCGAGATACTCGGCGTGTTTAAAATTCGTAATTCTTAGTTGCAATCTGGATCGCGATCTGTGTTGCAACTACGAATTAAACTATCAAAGTACAATCAAGAGAATTAAGGCTAGCGTTACGGTGGCTGCGTTTTCCGTCTAATTAACGTCCTGATGAATAAATTTATGAATTATTACGACCACCGTGTTACGGTAAGTGCATAATATTCACTGGACAAAACGCGCGGTGTACGTGCATTCTTGGAACGATGTTCCCGCGTATCATTCCATCTAATATATTCACGACACCCGTGAAAATCGAACGGACAAGATCACCGCGTTACACCTCCGTCCATCGCGATGAAAAAGGCTCGTAATCCCGGGTGGAAAATGGCGAAACTCGTGTTGCAACCGCTATAAGCACCCTACACGGGTCGAAAGCGAGGGCTAAAAGCCGGGAGAAAAATCAAACGTAGAAATAACACTGGAATCGAAAATGAGCGACGCGGCGTCGGTTCGATCGGCGAAGGAAGAGCCGAAAGAGAGCGGCGTAAAAATTTCGAGTCGTCGTTCGACCGCGCCGCTATAGGCGGTATCCGATTGAAGCCGAATCACGAAAAAGGAAGAAAAAAGGAGAAAAAGGAAAAAAGAGAAAAAGGAGGAAAAGAGGGAAAAAAGGAAAGGAACGAAAAACAGGGGAAACAAAAAAAGGAGAGAGGGAATAAAAGGGTGGTGTGGGGGTGGAGAAAGGGGGTGGGGAGGAAAGAGGGAGGAAGAAACGAAAGGAAGAAAAAAAGAGGAGCGCGCAGGGGGTGGGGGAGAGGGGTGAATTCGAAGAGCGCGGTCAAAC